TCTGTTTTGATGTGATATTTACTAATTCTTAGTCTCTAGGAACGCTAGTCACATCGTGTTTTCTTTTTAACTTTTCGACGATGTTGTTTAATCAGCTTCCCAAAGACGTCATTTCATCTCATTCGAAGAACTATCTCTCTTGTTTGCAAAAAGGGGTACAGGATTTCTGAAGATCCGTCGATTGTGAGAAAGGCTCCCAGCGAAAATTTTGAGTCAATTCGATTGCATGAATGTCTTACCTTCATGCAGTTGAACAATGTCGTCGAAACAGTTATATGGGTTCGCACAGCAAAGACAGAAGTCCATTACCTGAGGGGGTTCTAATGCTCATCTCAGGGGAATAAACGAGACTGACCCCAAATGAAAACTTGGACATTCTGTGTGGTAGCTTTCTGGTAGAAATTAGACTTTGAAGATACGCTATTGAAAGCCACCGCCGGCCGCCATTTTGCTTTTTAGCCGAGGACCCCAAGAAAATGAAAACATACAAATAAACTACTTCGAACACCTTTACAAGCCAAAACATATTTTCAAAGTAGACTTAAGCTGATTTTTTTTAGAGATGATTGTAATATTAAATGTAAGTTGGAAGGTTTTTGGTGGATTTTGGACAGAATTAAGACTCAAAATTTAGCTGTAACGAAAGCTCTGTAGAGAGTTACATTTAAAGTGTTGTTTCTAGAGGTCATTACAAATTAGATCAGAAATTGTGTTTGTTTATCTATATTTATCTGTATTTTTTAAATATTCTTTATGCTTTCCCTTGCCCTTAACTCCTATAAGCAATAGGTACACTGTATGTCAATATATACACTCCGTCCTGAGTTTAGTCTTCAGAACTCAACTTAGTGTTTTAAAATGTTAATATTTTAGCGATACAACTTGTGATATCTAAGCAATTGTTCATTTTCAATTCATTTAGGTGCTGTAAATAAAAATTGGCTTGCACGCATGATTAGAAAAAGGTTAATATTGCGTAATATATGGGTAATAACTGAGTAAACATTATTTTACATCAGCGGTGGAATTTGGCTGCAGCTAGAACCAAACATGCTAATGCATGAAGCTTTAATGTGATTTCTTGATTTTGGGATGCTGCACTTATGAAAGAATTCCAGAACCAACACCCCCACCCCCACAGTACTCAGGGATGTCCTTTTTTATTACACTTGGTCACTGATTAGGTGACGAGGCATTTGACCATTCCATTATTGACTCCTTGAGTCTCAGTCATGTTGCTTTTCTACTGTGACGCGATGGAGCAAGCTATTCGCAAGCGACAAATATAACGCCACTCTCACTATCCGTTCTTACTTTTCCCTCCAGGTTTGATGATATTGCTCTTTTGATGTTAATATGGAACTTTCACTTAGCCAGCAAATGTTCCAAGAGGTCACATTGGGTAGCTCAGTACCATCATCTGGTCCTAATGGTGAAGGTCTAGCGCCAGAATTGATTGACTATCCACATCCCACACTCAAGAGTCACAGATGATATAAGACTTAAGAATGAGGCGCTCAGTCCTAGTGCCCATATAGCCTTGAAAGGATATACTCCTAGGCCCGAAGCATGATTGGGCCCACTCTTGTAGGCTGTTTGATTGCAGTAAGAGAGTCATGATTACTCCCACCGTTTACCCGCACTTGAATAAAAGCGCTTACCCGTCCGTTTAAGCCAGAGGGTGGTCATGTGATGCTCTGCTGTCTCCAAGGTTCTCTTCCGACATCCCTCTTGATGTCTTGCTTCAGGACAAGGATCAAATTCACCCCGCCCCGCTGAAGTTGCATTCTACTACCATAAGTGCCACGAGTGGATTGTTGGCTTGATTACATGGGTATGGGATAAGCACATGATTTAAAGTTTGTTCATTGATTACCTTCAGCACAAATTCCGTCTCGATCTCTTTAAATCATAGGTTATAACTGATCCCATGAATGCACTTGTTTATCAGTCTAACCTCTAGAAACTGCTGGAAAAAGTTCATTTGTCGCTTTCCGCATTGGAATGGTGCAAAAGGCCTTAAAAGGTACCTAGCAATTTCGAGAGTCAGCCACTTGTAACAGAGATTCTTCTCCTCGGATTGCCATGGCAGTTCAATGGAATGAGAAATTTCTCTACATTTAAAACGGCTTTTGTCTCATTTGGTTGGGCGCATTAAGTTACGGCATTAAAGCTGGAAGTTATCTAGAAGGTGGATGGATATACAAGCACATTATTTCGCTGATAATTAAAAAATACCAATTCTATTAGGGCCTGTTTACAAGGAGGGAAGGTAACCCTGATAGAAAGAGGGTCAAACCAGCACTGGCTTATTATTTCTAAGCGACATGTTTACAAAGCATGCAGATAGGGTTTTCCTAGCGCTAGGGTAACCCAGGGTTCGAAAATACGCCCAATTTGCCGTATGTTACGCCAAAATTGTTCAAATGACTCCACTGAGGTTATGGAGGGATTCACTTTGACTCCAGAAATATTCAGTAACAAACATAGTTTTGTCGTTACCTTTTTCGCAACAAGTACAATTTACGTTAATTGTAAATGTTGTAAACCTCAAATTAAATCATCACAATTAAAGAATTATACTGCACGACAAAACAGGAAGAGGATAAATTATGATCAAAGGCCATCATGGATTTGAGCTTTCCAGGTCAGCGGACCGCCACAGCTACTTTGTGTATCCCTCACAATAGTGTATACATGCCAGGACCACGTGCTGGAAAGTCTGTTTGGCTTTTTTCGTTGTGATACTTGACTCCAAATATTCCAAAATGACTCCAAAATTTGTGAAGCACACGTCACACTGACTCCACTCATCAATAAAACTTGCAAACCCTGCGGTAACCCCAGCAAGAGGGTTACCCTACATGTACCTGCCTTGTGAATGCTCTGCTAAGGGATAACTGAAGACCAGTAACTCATGAAAATTGAATGGGTTAACCAAGTTTTCTTGCTAAATTTTAAAAATCTGAACAATATTATGTATTTTATTTATACAATGATAATACCTGTTTGTTTTTTTCCATACAACGTGTTTAACACGGGAGAATTCAACATTTCCTTCAAATCTTGGACGTTACAAGGAATGTCAGTTTAGTCTTCACATGACGAAACATTTCAGTTGAGCTGGTTGACTCGTTTGACTTGTGTCGGCTTCCTGGGAAATTTTGCTTTTAACCAGAGTTACCTTGAACCCTCTTGCTAGGGTAACCCTAGCACTGGGGTTACCCTCCCTCTTTGATACAATTCTCAACAAGTTTTTGTATCGGAATTTTGTTACTTCCACGCCCATTTTCCGCCTCTGCGTTGTCTGCCAGTACATCCACAGTTCCTTACTTCTTTAACTATAAAGTCTAAGACCCTGAGATTTGATATTAAAGTGTCACTGAAAGAATACACAGCATTAGTAAACCTTCTCTGTCCCTTAATTGTTTCCGGACGTTGTTGGTTGCATCACTACTATGTGCACAATTGCGTTATTGGAAGAATGACATCTTGCCTCACTGCTTATCAAATCCTTAGCACAGATGCCAGAAATCTCAGCAGCAATAGAACTCATGTTAGTGTTCACTTTCAGGTGCAACGAAGTGCTTTTTCTTGCCCTTCATCTGCCCTAATGCTTTAACGTTATGCAATGTCTTCTGTGTTGTACTTGTAGTTTGGTACTATACACAGGTGATTGAGGGTAATCCTGTTCACCTGTTGATATCAAGAAGTAAACAGTCAAATTCTAGATCTGGCAGATAAACACTTGGAAGTGCGAACCCAGGGCTCGAATTTAATTTTTGGATCACCAACCCTTCGGGTTAGTAGACATATTTTTGACTAACCAAATTATAAAGTTTGGTATCCAAGCTCACAACTAAAAAATCTTGACAATCTTGAAATCTCAAACATTGAACAGTTTGTCAATAACCACTAGAACAAATTAAAAGGTAGTCGAAATTGCATGGTGACCTTAAAAAACTTTGACAATTAAGTGCCTAGTTTATTTTCCTCTCGTTTCCCTTGAAGAGACCAGCATGATTTAGGTAGTGAAGAACAGTACATCTTCAGCACATTCTCTAACGACAGTTTGAGTTGAATGATTCAACAAATTGAGTATTCTAAGTATTCCTTGTAAAGTCTGGTCTACGTGCTCTTTGTCCTGATATCCACCAATGTTGAATAGCTCTCTGGGGGATCATATACATCAAATGAACAACCATTGACTGTTATCCTTAGCAGCATGTTGAGAATGTCTGTGTCAAGACAGGATCTCCAATCATTCTTCACTCTCTTCATTGCTGAAAATCCTCGCTCCACAGTTGCTGTTGCAAGTGGCAGGATGATTATTATTTCCACAAGCATCAAGATGTTGGGAAATTGATCCTTGAAGGCAGTAAACATTCTCTGCCATAAAATAAGGGGATCTAAATGCCTGAAATTGTTTGCAGTTACACAAGCCTTCAGAGCACTCCACTCTCCAGCTACAGCTGCAAAGTAAAAATCATTCCTCTCCAAAGCTGGTCTAAAATGCTGAACCAAGCACTCCACTTCTGCCTCCCCATATGTTGCTATGTCTTCTACAGATTCTGGCCAAACCCTGGGATCAAAAATCTTCCCAGCTGCAAGAACTGGATCTGAATCCAGGCTTTCAAATCTAGAATTCAAAAACTGGATGATTGTGTTGATAATCCTCTGTTTGTCCCTGATAAAAGCATTCAAGTCATTGGGCATTCTCTTGAGAGTTACACCTTTGTAAATGTTACCATCTCCCACTCCATCAAGAAAATCTTGCAAGTTCTTTCCAGGTCTGGCAATCATTGCTCTAAGCTGCAGTTCTGTAGAGTAAAGACCATCCTTTGCAGCAGATATAACAATGTTATCTCTCTGGAAGAGCAAGCTTAGAGCCTTCAATACTGCCAAAACATCAAGCATTAAGTGAATGAATAGGAGATTTCTAAAATTGCTTAACACATTTCATGTCTTTCTTGCTCTGCCCCTCATTTCTA